TTTACCAGCTCAACGGTTTTGCCGATAAAACTTGGCAAGATTTTAGCCGTTTCGAGATGTCACTACGATCTCAGATGTTGGTATCCTTACAGCACATGTGGGCAACCGGTAACCTGCGGGTCAGATCCAGCCTGCAGGGAGATCAGGATGTGGTACCGAAAAGGGTTTATACTCCGCCACGCCTCTTTACTCTCGTGAAAATAAATAAAACTAAAGCGCGCGTGGGGCTAACACACGATAGTCTGTGTTTGTGTGTTCAGAAGCGAGTGAACTTTGCCACCTATTTTCAACTCAGCAATAGAGAGAGCCATGATGCAACACTGCCGTCGCAGCCGACGCTTTTTCTCCCCGCATGCACGAGGAAAACCAAAACAGAGGCACATGAGTTGCACGTGTTAAACTGTGAACTGCCAGCAATCTGACTGCGTCAAGTTTAGCTCAAAAACTCTTGACTGCACGGGCAAGCCTGCTGCGCTACTACTTGGGTTTTATTAAAAGGTGGCCTGCGAACTCAAGCAATTATACAAGTCAGGCCTGTGTGTCGCCAAACGTTGTCTGTGCCTGCCCTAGACCAAAAAGAAGCTCTCGGTGAATGCTTACACAGCACGAGCCAACCTTGTACATTACAGTTTGTCAAAATACATTTATTTAATTTCATTAATTACAGCCGCTATCTTTTCGAACCCTAAAAATTAAAATTTTTTTACAACGAATAATTAATTTTGTTGCAGCCGATACCACGACATTGATTATTGTCATGCGAAGCTTCAAAGTGATCGTCTTCATTCTTGTAAGGTTTTTCCAGCCATTCTAAACACGTTTATTCGAAGAGATTTTATAAAATTCAAGCAGCGTACTGAAATACGGCGCATGCACAGCCAGCAAAAGGCATCACTTCAATAATGGACAATCTCATCAGTTAGCTCTGACAAAAGGCAAACAGCTTTCTCAGCTCACAAACGAATAAAACATAGAGCCGGAGTAAATGGAATCAGAGTAATCCTGCTACCTAAGCAATGCATATAGTTACTGGAATTGCAGCATACTGCGAATCTGAGTAAAAGACGCATTTCGTTTAAAGCTAACAAAAGCTCGTTTTAGATTGTATCATTCGCTGCATTGATCGATGCAGGATGTAAGTTAACCAAGTCTTTCTTGTTTGTCACCATTTTTTTAATTATGCTTTTCTGGTTATCCTCTTTTTATGCGTTTTTTGCAGCAATGCAATGCGAAAAACGCATATTGAGGAGAGGTTGTCTGTGGGTGTGTGTGTGTGTGTGTGTGTGTGTGTGCCTGTGTGTGTGTGTGCCTGTGTGTGCGCTGCGCGTCTGTACCGATTTTTCATCTCGAGACCGGCAAAAGCTATGGAGCTGAAACTTTGGGGAATTAGTCTGCATGCACGTACGGGCCCCTATCCCCGA